CGGTGTCTACGCCCCACCCCGCACTAAAACTGGGATCACTTTGGGGAAGAAGGAAGTGTTCGCTGTCATGGTAGCCTGTTTTTTCGGGATCGCACCCGAATTCATGCACCATGGACCCTTTATCAATAGTGGCCCTCTGTTGAGGTTCACTGTGTTTGTTGCCACTGGTTTACCAGGTGTTGTTCGTTGTTATCTCCTACTTCTGTCTTATCCCAGCTTTGTTTCCCATACCTTTGTTTTTCTTGCGTTCGGGCAGGTATGTGCAGGCGTTACACGATCGCGTCACTGTCATCTTCAGCACCATGTTTAAGGATCCTGATGACATGCTCATCGGCAAGGTCTTCATGCAAGTGAGTTGTATGCTTTTTACGTCGATATTCTCGTTATTTTCCCTACTGCATGACTAGGCGATGCCAACAATATCAAACTGGGTTTTCTGATGATCGCCTGTAATCAAACCAGGCGCTCAACATTACCACGGAGCTTCGTCTGGAAACAACGTGAATTGCCTTCACACCCTAATCTGTTGATATAAACACACGTTCTCTGCGTAATCTGTTAGGGTTCGACCACGCAGTGAGCAAACAATAAGATGTGCGGACTGTGACAATATTCTATCCCCAGCTATGTTGCTTGATCCAGACTCCTAGCACGGCGAATAGTAAGAAGGTGAAAACCTCGGAAACAACTTTAATGATCCAGACAATACGCGATCAACAGGCGAATCAACGAAAAAATGACAATGCATATACATATATATATTCATAGTTTGACCTTGAAAAATGCCGGAAGTTCGCTAGCACAGAGTCTTCGGAGATATTGATATTCCTAACATAATCAGCGAGCGAGAATCGGGCACTGATTCTAGGTGGTAGGCTAACCACATACGTTTTTTTTCATACACTGTTGTCGATTGCGACAGGTTGTCGCACCACTGCTTCGAAGTGTTCACCCGCCCCTTTCATGATGTATAGTTGGTTTTCAAGAGTGTTGCCCATGTGACACCCAAAACTGTAGGACTCCGGATGCCAATCGTGATCACACGCAGCAAATTGCACATTTATGTTGGCTAAACTGGATGAGCTTGGCCTAACCTCTGGTGGGACTCGGCAGCAGCCGTATGATAATCGACGTGGTTCCTTTGGGTAGATGCAATCGGCCTCTTGTTCCAAAACCAGTTTTTGTCGTCCTTCTTAACGGTAGTCGACATGTTTGTATGCCGACTAAAGATAAAAGCTCTCCGTCGTTGGGCTGCTACAAAAAAGTATTGTCGGAGTCGATGTATATCCTTCACAGGTGACAATCAGTGAAGCAAACTTGCTATCTGTCAGAAGAGACTTTGCATCCGTACCTTTAGCTACTTAGTACGGATCACCGTGCGCAGCCATTTAGCCGAGTCGTATTTTATTCTTTAGATAGCTGGAAAAACGTCATGTACAACAAAGAAATCACTTCCCAACGATCCGTTTTCGCGGAATCGTGACATCAGCGTTCGCTTTTCAATGTGATCTCATTCGTATACTGCCATCCCTGGCCTTTTACAAAGCTATCACGAAATTTGCACGACTTTAGGTCTGCCATTGACGTCTTGAATGCTAGTTGTTACTACTCGTTTCTGAACTATTCAGGTGTATTTTGGGATTGCTGGGTTTCTATGTTATCTAGCCTTGTAGATTGAGGTTATGCCAGGGCCGAGAGGTGAGTCCCTGTCAGATGGATTTGTGTTTCAACTCTGCATGTACAACTCTGCCTTACGCGTCCACAGAATTCAAGTTCTTAGTAGGATGTACATCCACCTGAATTTTTCTCCACTGTAAAAGAATGTATACAGAGACCGGATAGAACTGCTGAACGTTTTTTCAGCGGATAGACAGATTTCTAAATCCGCTCCTCTGTCTGTCGGTGCAAAATGACGAGGGTTGTTTGACTTTTTCCCGGGGGAAGATTTGAATTGGCAACCTGTGATATAAAACCGAAACCTTTTAATTTTGAGCTGCATGTATCTGGCCAGAGATGCTTTGCGTGAGCTTCTGTATTCAAAAGCTAAATTATGAACTTGTCCGCTCGAGAATTGCGAGTTAAACTTCCTTTGAATATCGAAAAATACGGTCATTCGTGGCCGTTTCCGTCATCGACTGAAGACTGAAAGTTCATGTGCTTTGTACGACCTATCTGTTTCAGGAGTTTACCGAGGCCCGAAGACGACTGGATCGCGCACCACAAGTGCTCTACTCACACCGCGTTCCACCGGCCGAACTACAAGGAACTAATGCTGTTGTGAGCGATTCGGTCGCCTATATAACCTTTGGTACGTATGGATTTTATGTTTCAGCTTCCTGGTTGTCACAACTCCGGACAAGGTAAAACGCACTCCGCACATGGTGCTATCAGTTATTTTTGCCATCCATTTAGCAACTGGAGGAAATTTTCAGTCTGTGTTTGATGGCCAAAATGCGCCTACTAGTCCATAGTTTTTGGCATGTTGCTGCTGTTTGCGAAGCACCGTAATTCGTGCGGGGGGCGTGTCGTCTACATGGGAGGTTGTCCGACGTCGAATTTCCATTCGGTTTTTCTCGGGGTAATGTTGTCCAGTCGCTGATTGATTAGGTCTCCCACCGAACGAGTCTAAGCCTCTCGCAAGTGCTCTACTCACACCGCGTTCCACCGGCCGAACTACAAGGAACTAATGCTGTTGTGAGCGATTCGGTCGCCTATATAACCTTTGGTACGTATGGATTTTATGTTTCAGCTTCCTGGTTGTCACAACTCCGGACAAGGTAAAACGCACTCCGCACATGGTGCTATCAGTTATTTTTGCCATCCATTTAGCAACTGGAGGAAATTTTCAGTCTGTGTTTGGTGGCCAAAATGCGCCTACTAGTCCATAGTTTTTGGCATGTTGCTGCTGTTTGCGAAGCACCGTAATTCGTGCGGGGGGCGTGTCGTCTACATGGGAGGTTGTCCGACGTCGAATTTCCATTCGGTTTTTCTCGGGGTAATGTTGTCCAGTCGCTGATTGATTAGGTCTCCCACCGAACGAGTCTTGGAAAGCCTCTCGATATCTATAACGAGGTAACTGTTCTGTCCGCCGAGCTTAGCAGTAGGATCGCAAACGTCTTTGATTACTAAACGAGGTAACGTCGCCAGTGAGGGATGGATGAGTACCACCCTACCCAACCCTGACAGTGTCACCTCAGTTGATAATGAAATGTTTGCGATCCAATAGCCAGGTTAGGCGAACAGACCAGCTACTAAGCTGCGCATCCGACCTACCTGTATTCCGCAACTTTGCATTTTTTAATGTGTTCTAACTTTGCATTAACTCACCTTGTTGCCGGCTTGAGTTGTACCACTTTCTTTTTCTCGTCGGTCATAAAGCTATAACTTATGTTTACTACAGTCTTGTTTCCCAGACATATCAGTTCGGAGGCTAGTCGCCAAAAATCAATTGACTTGATTCATACACTGAGAAATTACCTGCACTACCACATCAAATGCTCCAAAGCCTACATCCAGATGCGCATGCGTGCGAAGACCTCAGAATTCCTCAAAGTAATCAATCGTGCTAGTGTAGAAACGTCGGGTGCACCAGTGGTCAATGTGGCTCCAACTGGAGAAGTATCACCGCTTTTTGCGGCTTCCCTGGCCTCAAAGTCTGCTGCCGCGGAAGCTACTTCCGGGTACGTGATTGTCTTGTTCAGCTTCGCTTGCGGCTACTCTGTTTCTCATGCCGTTGTGCCCTTCCCTATACAGTGTTCCCTGTCAGTGTTTTCTTGTCAACATGGCTCACAAACCAAGCTAGTGTTTGATCAATTTCTCTGGTTGTTGAATCTTTTTCTGCCAGTCTATTCGCGGCAATCAACGACAAACACGCTAGTTTTCTATACAGTCTGAATGTGTGTGTGTGTGTGTGTGGTATATCCTTCCCTAATGTCTGCCTTGTTTCCCAAGCTGGATGAGGAAACATTAGGGCTGCGACTAGTCGACAAACATTGCGATCTACTCTTGACAAATAAGTAGTGTTTTGCACTCTCTGTTTGACCAACACACTCATGAAAGGCAATTCAAACGAGATTTTATTTGAATTAGATATTTTTGCCAAGCTATACCCCATCCATTTTTGTCCAGCGCCGTAACCTAGCGGCAATGTTTGTATTTTTACGCGAGGTGTGGAAATTTACGACTAAAATAGGCGCGTCTGGAATACCCAATGGTCTGTCGCGTCTAAATTGAAAGTATGCCACTTGTGAGCGCAGTTGATTCACCTTGTGCTGTGAGTGCCCGACGACAGTGCTTTCGTTGAACACAGTCTAAACGTTAGTTGTTACTGTGTGGCAGCCGGCCAACTGGATTGAGTTCGCTATGCCTAGTTCTGGTGTTAGCACAATCGGATATTTCTTGAGTGCGATTTCCGACACTCTGTTATGTCTTCCGTCTAATCATCACTGAAAGTAGCATCAGACTAGAACAATGGCGCTTCATTGCTGTATATCCATGTCGGTTGATCTGAATAAAGCCATACAATAGAAAGAAGACAAATGTGGTAGGAAGAGATACCTAGACCTCCAACACTCAGTCAGACAATCGGGATAAAAACTGTCAACACAAACGACACTGACATCACTTAGCCGCTGTATGACTCAGTGTCTCCAGCCAAGTACAGGGAGGGTCACACGGGCCCTATCCATGAAGGTGATGAGCACCAACGACACCCAAACTTTCCTAACATCCTTACCCCTCCTCCTGTATGTCAGGCTCTGTTCACCTCCGGATTAGGCGCGAAAACTGCGCTCGTCTTGACAGACATCGGCATGCGTAACACGTGACACAGCTAAATTAGATTGAAGTGCTGGATGTTTTCTCTGATTGAAGTATCTTCTGCCTCACCAAAGACCCGTCTCCTGATGACGTCATTCCGACCTCGCTGGTTCCAGGTCGATTCCAGCTATAGTTTTGAGACATCGGTTGTCAACCGCCTGAGAATGTTTCAGAGTCAACATCCGAAGACACGTTGTCCGAAGGGAACTTCAGTAGATGGTTGTGATAAGCTTGTGTTTCACATCACGGTCCGGGAGCTTTTCAACGGTCAGGCGAGGAGTACGCGTCTCGCGCACCCCTGAAAAACAGCGAAACGCTACAACGAACCAGATTGTGGTCCTAATCCATAGAGGTGTTCCAGAACGGGCGACAGTCAGTAATTGACCCACGTCATCTGTAGCTTATAGCGATGTGGTCTGGGTGTATTGGAGGTTGAGTTGCATCCGGAGGGCACCATGTGGCAAAGCGGCGTTGGTTGTTTCAGAATTTAGTACTCCTCAGAAACAGTTTGTGGTCAGGACATTATTGCGTCAGGTGTTCACCGTCTCGATTCGACTCCTAGATGACCACCCAAGTGAGCATCAGCAGCGATAAGGCTACTGACTTGCGCGTTCATACCCCGGGCAACCAAGGCAGTATCGGAGCACTTAGCCCGTCACAACGAGGCTCCCAATGCCTCGTAAAAACTGTTTTTGAGTGTTTCAGACATACAGTCAGTGGGATCGTAAGTGAATACGATGAACTGGCAGTGGTTGTTGGCGCGCTTACGGGATGCTCTCGTAGACCTTGCCAAACAAATCGGTGAGCAATTATTCAGACGGTAACCTTTTAGCTGGGCCGCAGCGACCCCTGGATCATCGGAGGTGCGTGACCTGATGCGAGCGGAAGCCGGTAAATAATTCACCTCAGCAATCATACTTGGATCTTGAGTCCTCGTTTCAGACGGACGGTACAAATCAATAAAAAAAGTAAGTCCAGCGTACAAGCAAGAGCAGTCTGTTGTCCAGCTTATATCGTAGTGCAAACATTAAAGGCTGCCAGGTGGAATTAGTGCTGAGAGTTGAAGATTGATTTCGAAGTGTCTGCTTCCCCGACGGCCGAGTCAGTCAGATATGGCAGCTGACAGCGTTGGGCGGTGGACAGATGTTTCATTCCTTAGTGGGCTTATAGAGATCTCAGTATCAATGAGATGAGGAGGGGCAGAAAAGTGAATATGAATTGGAGGTAGAAGTGATGGATCACCACCATCCTTCTTCCTCCTAATCTCGCAGCTTAGTGCTTTCCTTGCTACAGAAGTTTCATATAAAACTGTCATTCTTTTTTTCTTTCTCCGCCCCTCCTGCCAGTAGTCGATCCATGACTGTTGGATAAACCGTTAGCGTCGGAGTAAATTCCCCCTGTCTCTCTCTCTCTCACTCATTCCGCCCATTCACTTACCTCCTTTAATTGCTCTCTACGCCCAGCCCTCCATGAATAACTGACTTGTTACTTTATTGGCTGTGCTTCGATTGTACGCTTTTCAGCTTTGATAAACGTTTGCTCGGTTGCACTGTTTTGTGATTTTGCTCGTGATTCAACTCACATTCCGACATTTGATATTATTTTCTGTACGTCTGATGGTCCGCTTTTCCGAATCGGTTTGTATTTTCATAATTTACTGACCTTTATAATTGGAGCTTTTTTCTAATAGAAATGCTTTACTTGTTTGCCCATCCTGACTTTTCATCAATCGCGGAAGAGGCATGCCATGCTTTTTTGTTCTCGGTATTTTTATCCTCACTTACTTGGCAAGAAATAAGATTTGAAAAAATAATCGTTCAGCTGTAACACCCTTTCGGTGCCTAGCTGCCATGCCATCCGAAGGAAGCACGAGGGCTGAGATACTGCCAGGTTGTCCAAGCCTGGACAGTGGAAGTCGGGTGACAGAGTTCGAGTTCGAACCACGGACCTTCCGGTCAGTAAATTCGCGCTCTAACCTGCCCATATTCTATATTGTTGTCGAAGTCATCCGTTTACTTTGACACCCGATGAAAGACGGAGTTGCTTCGTATACTGATGGAAAATGTGTGGCTTTTTCCACACTTGGACAGTCAGTACCGTAATGTGCCTCTTGAGGCGGAAGTTTCAAGCTGCTCTCCATCAATGGATGGTTTAAAGAATACACCTGTCTTGGACGAAAACGATGTACACAATCCCGAATTAGTCATCCACACCATTTACGATCAGGGTACAGATGAATATATTCTGGTATATTTGTCGTTTGACTATACGTTCCCTGGCTGGCCGAGTTGGGTGCTGGACGGCACCTGTAACTAGACTATGATTTTGTTGGTCCACCATAACGGTTATCTCAATTTGACAATTCCCTACATGAGTTTTCGACACAAACCGTGCTGCTGTTCAGCCGAACGCGGACAGGATGATGTCCTGGTTGCCTGGTTGAAAACCATATTTGAAAAACGACACACTTTGTTCATTCGTAAACCTCAGTAAGGCAGAAGACAATGCCGTAGAGGTGAATTCGGAAATTTTTCCAAGGCTCATAACCTAGACAATCCGGTTCAGAACGAACCCTTGCTCGTGCTTACTCAGTTTCTTTAATCGGTAGAGAATCTTTTGCAACTCCTGTGCATTGAAAGCGTCGGAGTAGAGTCCGAAGCACCGCCTTGTGTGTTACGCCGATCTCCATCTATCGAATGGACGAAAAATGCGACTTAGGGAGTTCGCCGTTAGGTGACTGATGTCTCACAGCCAATGGAACATGAGGGTACGCAACCGGATTGTTTGTAATTGAGTGACAGGATGAAATGAAAAAAGGGTCGATGGAACTAATGGGAAATAGGTAGACTATTTCCCATTAGTTCCATCGACCCTTTCGATAAACGCGCAAACGAACTACACAGCAGACCGGTATGCATAGCCAAGTTTACCATGGACTGCCTTCCAAGTTTCCCGGCCAATTTTGAACGGTTGACACTACTCTTTCCAGAATGAACCGAAATAGTTCACGTGTGAATTGCAGCATCCGCAATTGAGTTACCCAAATCCGCCTTGTTTGATTTCTATGGCAGATTCAGCTTACTTGTCCTGGGTTCCGCCACGTGCAGTTTCCAAATGTCTCTACTAGGTGAGTTGCTCGGAAAGCGAATGAAGTTCGAGTTTCACTCAAAGTTAAACATTCTTCAAATCTCATCGCAGGAGCCTTTCTCTGGCACGCAGTAATCCGATCCGGCTAAACAGGTTGTATGTATTCTATCCACAAGCTGTTATCAGAACTGCGAACCCTGAATATACTTGTCTAAGGCTCACGATAGTCGTTTTTCCTGTACCCTAAGGGAGATATCTTTCCTCGGCACAGCTGATGTTCGCTTCGGCCAACGTCCGAGACTGTGTTCACAACTTCTCTGTAAATTTACCGAGATAACGATGGGAAATTTTGTTACTAGGTTCGAAGTTGTATGAAATCGACGCAGCCGACATGGAAACTCAGTTAAGAAACCTTCACAGTTGGGCGTGGAACGCCCGAAGCAGTCGGTTGGCTTCGTTCCGTTTACGAAAGGTTCGCGGAGGACGAGTCATGACTCGGTAACGCGAAACTAAAGCGGTTGTTTTGTAGTGTCTTTGTGCCACGTGAATCTGCTTGTGTGTGTGGTTAGGAATTCTCCAGGGCCACCAAACTAACCCTTGTCTCTCATTCGTGGGGGTGGGTCTCGCAAAGGAGTTGAGTCAATTCTGACGACCACTGCGTGCTCCAAAATGGTGTGTGTTCAGGCTAGTTAGTTGTAAGTGTGGTAATACACAGAAGAAACCATCGTACCAATTTAACAGTAATTTTAGTTTGTACAAAGTTGGGTATTGGACTGACGAAAAAGGATATTCCCATCGAATTCGGGTCTCATATGTGCAAGCGACTAAGGAGTTTTGGGGCCCAAAGCATTGGATTACGCTGGAGGTCAATAAATGAGGGACGTCAACATCTTGTCGTCAGTTGTTGTTTCACTTTATCTCTGCACAGCTGGGTGTAACTACTGACAAAGTCTGGCTGTTCGCATCGCACAGCTACTCTTAGGGATAACTTGATTACTGTTCTAAAGTGGTACTAAAAACGGACACTCCAGTCTCGGTTGCAAGGTGCGCAGACAGGTAGGCGGAACAGCCACTGTCAGTCATTTAGGACCGCATAGCGTAAGCATGTATGTCTGCTCTGGGGTGGAACTCAATCTGAGTCGACAGTATATACTGCAGAAATCAAGTTCA